GGAGCCTCTCTGCCTCCGCGGCAGCGCTAAGGATGTCCGACTGACCGCTTAGGCTCAGAATGATCAGTCACTATGACGTGCACTGACCACTCAGTGGCAGAAGCTCAATGCAGGTGCTGCCCCCTGGTGGTCAGCGCACTCCCAAAGGGGGAGCTCTGCCCAGGCAGAAGCCCTGAGCCAGGCTCAAGCTGGTGAGTGCAGTGGTGGTGGCAGGAGCCTCTCTGCCTCCGCGGCAGCGTTAAGGATGTCCGACTGACCGCTTAGGCTCACTCTGTAGGTCAGTTGGACATCCCCCGAGGGCTCCTGGACTGCGAGAGGGCGCAGGTCTGGCTGAGGGACCACCCCCCTTGAGTGCATGAATTTCATGCACCAGGCCTCTAGTACATATATAAATGCCTAATATGCAAAGTGTCTCCTCGGGAGTTCGACCAGGAGACTGGGAGTTCAATTGCTCTCTATGATGTGCGCTGACCACCAGGGGGCAGCGCGGAATGAAGGAAGATCCCAGCCAGCAGCTGGCACCTGGAGAAGGATTGGCCCTGATCACCGGCCAGCCCTAGGGACCCTACTTGTGCATGAATTTCGTGCACAGGGCTCCTAGTGTGTAATAATTGTTTCTATCCCACAAAGTTATGTTATTGGAAGTTCTGTATAAGTTAACATATAAGGCCTCAAAAGCTAAGTTTCTCTGTTGCCTCTTTGTTTATCGAAGGGATAATGATTTAATGGTCTCAAACATGGCCTCTAGAGCTAGACATCATGTATTAAAATTCTCTTCCCACCACTAACTACATGGCTAACCTTGGACCAGTTATTTAACCTTTCTGGTCCACTTTACCTGTTTTCCCCCAAATCCAAATCTGACTCCTCAGCTCTTACACTCTAATGTCAATCTTCTGGGTGCAGAAGAAACACACCAAGCAAGATGAACACCAAGAATGTTTGTCCCAATGCCTAGAAAGAGCCTGTCCTAGGCCATTTATAACTGCGGCAACAGCTCTGAGACAGGCCAAATGTGGAAAAGAGTCCAAAGAGAGAGTGTGAGTGAGAAAAGATGAGAGCCAGCCAGCTTGAAGTGGGACCTGAGCCACATTAGCAATCCAACCTGAGAAGAGACTAAATGAAAAAGAAGATCAAGGGCAACTTTTGCCTTTTCCAGGCTCCTGAGAGAAAGAACAACTCTAAGAAGTCACACTTCAGTCCTTTCTAACTGTAACGGAGCCAATAACATGTCTTCAGAGCTGAGGTAACCTTACTCAACTTTGCGGGAGAGCGTGGCCAAATCTGGAAATCAAAGGGTGTAGTCACATATGCTTTTAAGACCAACTGACCAAATATCAATGAGCCTAAAGTCAGCTCATCAAAATCACTTTACACAATGAACAGTGCCATTCATTGAAATCTGAAACACAGATCATCCACTTGCTGAATGAGCAGTTGATGGACACTGACACACCAGTCTTTTACCCCAGGGTTGGCCCTGTTTTCTGCTCCTGGAGGCGGAGCCCACGCAGCATGGGAGCAGGCAGGGCCAGTAGGTAAACTGGAGAATGTGTGCGGAGCTGTACTTAGCTCCAGCTACTGGCTGCCATGCAGGCATGGGCCAGGTGCTGCCCAGTTTTCAAATGAGGGCTGAACTGGATTTTGATGTGAACTGTGCTGACATTTGCTTTTTGTCAAATGCTTAAAATTGTACAACAAAACAAACACTGTGCAGGCCACATGCACCCCACATGTGGGCTTGACTCTTCCCGGGTGCCTGCAGTCTCGCTGTGAAACACTGGGCATGTGCGTCCCCAGTCTCATGCTTTCGGCTACGTGAGCATGACCCGAAGCTCACAGTATCCAGTAATCTGTAATTTTGCCGAGGCACAAATTGTATCCCAAATGCTCCATGCTTGACTTCTGCGTGTGGTTTACTTAGCTAGTGAATGTGCTTTGTTTTCTGCCCAGTTTCTACAAGTCAGCGTGACTTTTGATTTTTTTTAAAGTCACCTTTGAATGCAGAATAACACTCATGCAATAAATAAGCTTCTACTCTAAAAAGGGCCTGTGGAAGTCAGCAGAGGTAGTTGATTTCTAACGTTGGAGAAAGAACTGAAAAGAAAGTGAAAAGGATCTATTAAATATTTAATTGGAAAATAGTTTGAGGTAGAACTTAATGAGTGTAGCAATGGGAATTTTGAATGGAAACAATCATTATTTTTCAGATCATGGTAGCAAGAATTAGGTAAGAAGTATAAAGAGATGACTTGAAAACTTCAGTTTTACTTTATTCCTTTTTACAGTAAAATTTATATGCTATAGTGTATTTTTAAAATATTCATCTTGAATTTTAAATATTAATTAAATATTTTTGAGAGATGATGGGTAACTCTTATGAGCCTCAAAAACTATGTGATGCTTTAGAAGTTATTCTAAATTCTTTTTAATGTTTAGATCCTTCAAGTAGATTGCTGAAGGCAGTTGCTGCTCTTTCTTTTTCTTTTTGCTAGTTACTTTCATATTTCTAGTACAATGTTCTGTTCATAGGAGGTTCTTGATATATTGAATGCGTTGAATTATTTAAAGGTGTCTTCCATTTTTAAACATTTATGGCTTAATATTTTTTTTCTATCAAATTGAGAAATGGTGCGTGTGCCTTGGGTAGTGAAAGGGGAATATAAAAAATGTACTCTGTTTTTAACACCCAAACAATAGAGTCCATAATTTGAAAGTCTTTCTTTGCATATTCATATCTTCTTAAAATATTTAGTTGAGTATATTAAGACAGGACATTTATTCTAGGTTTATAATGTTTCTTGGGCTAGAAATAATATTGAATGAAACAGTCTTTATGTTTTTCCTTTTGAATCCACATCAAAGGTTTTGGTTGGAAATGCCAGATGGCCTGGCCAGTGTGGTTCAGTGGTTGAGCGTCCAGGTCAGGGTACATGCCTGGGTCTTGGGTTTGATCCCAGTAGAGGGCATGCAGGAGGCAGCCAATCAGTGATTCTCATTATTGATGCCTCTATCTCTCTCCCTCTCCTTTCCTCTCTGAAATCAATAAAGATTTTTTAAATGCCAGATGCACATTTAAAGTATTGGAATCATTGGCGTATTCGGATTGGGCTAATGGAATATGCTTGTAGTTTCTTTAAAATGAGGGTGAGTGGAACAGGGTAGACCCTTTAAGCCTAAGGCCTGATAGCAATTACATGGAGAGATTTCACCCATCCCCCAATTGTAGCACCATTTCTCCTTGACCTTTGAACTCTTGTGTATCTTTCAGTGTCTTGGGATACTACAGCAAACAGAGAATTTCTAGGACAATAGCTCATATGTTAACTTGATCTCAACTGCCTGGATCAACTTTTCTTAGACAGGGAGGTTTCTCTTCTAGAAACAGAACAATTACAGAGGAACCAATAGTCCAGACAGCACAGGGCTGCTCAACTTGTGAAAGACTTGATTAGTGAAGAGTGAGTGACATTTCATTCCTACTTGTCACAGCTCACACTTCCTTATTAATCTTTTTTTTTTTTTCTATAAAGCCCTTCTTTGAAAGTATAAGGCTCTCAAGTGAGACATTTTTTCTGGGAATTAAAAACATATATTTTTATTTATTTATTAAAATATTTTTTATAGAGAGAAGAAGAAGAAGAGAGAGAAATATCGATGTGAGAGAGAAACATCAATTGGCTGCTTCCTGCTCCCCCCCTCCCCCAAACTGGGGATCAGGCCTGCAACCTGGACATGTGCCCTGACCAGGAATTGAACTGGCAACCTTTCAGTGCACAGGACAGTGCTCAACCAACTGAGTCCCACTGGCCAGGGCCTTCTGGGAAATTATTAAAAGATAAGATTTGGAGACATTGGTTATCTTCCTTTTAGAGACCACTAACACCTATTGTGGGGAATGACTTGTGAGGTCTGGCATATGTAGTTACTCAAAGGAACATTATGGAACATTATGAACATTATGTCATGAGTGGTCAACAAAAAATCATGTGTACAGAAATTGCTTAATTTTTTAAACTGGATTTCTACCCAAAATAGGGAAGTTTCCCTAATAATATCAATTCTTTTATACATAACTTTTTCTGGTTATTTTTGGTTTACCCATTTGTGTACTCTCTCTGAAGAAATGTGTTTACTACCCTATCATGGGCTAGTTATTCATTCATTAATTTGGCAAATATTTTTAAAGCATCAATTTTATGTAAGGCATATTGATAAAAATTTATATAAATAAATCAAAGAGAATAAGTGAAATATATGCAAATGTTAATCTTTTTGTCAAATGTTTACTTTTAAATGTTTAAACATTATGCAAAACTGTATTCTTCTGAGATTATTTTGGTAAGTTACTAAGATTTATTGACAAAGGACTTTGTCCTTGGTGAAATAAATGAAATATCATTTGCTTTGGTCCATGTTTTACTCTGTATTTTAATCTAACTCTGTGCTGTCTATAACTAAACTACAAATTTCTTTTGGACAAAACCTGTGTCTTAAATTTTCCATTGAATTTTATTTTCTGCCTACTACAATATTTTCTCTGTAAGAAATCTTATGAAAGTATATTTGATGTTTAAGACCTATGAAAAGTAATAGTGTTACTGAAGCCCAAAACTAAATATCTAGTGTTTTGACTGATCATTATTTGATTTTGCAACTATCTCCTATCTTAAAATAACTTTATAGTCTTCTTTCCTCCCAATTTCCAAATGAGGCTTTGTAAATTTATTATATTTTAATTTTAGTTCTTTTTTAAGAAATGTTTTGATATTGCTTCAGAAAATTGAATTTTCCTAGGGTACAATACTAAATATAAAAATGTTAGGTCTGCTAAATTAGAAAAGTTGAACTTTAGTCATTTTGAATATTGACTTTTAAATATAATCAGACTCGTTGTTGCCTGTGTTTTAGGACCAAAATAATTATATTCTTTAATCTAAAGAAGTAAATGCTGCCTTTAAAAAATCTGATCATTTTTTTTCAATGCTTTTTGCTATTAGGTGATTTGGGCTCTTGGGATCTGCTCATTTGCCTGTCTTCTAGGAAAGCTGCTGGAAATCCCTGCATATCCAAGGAAGATATGTGCCAGTTAAGTTTACATCAAAAGGTAAATATTTTTTCACTCATGCACAGATTATATTAGTCCTATAGATATTAGCACCAGCATCTCTTGTTCATTAATGTTCAAAAAAGTTTCACCATTAGATCCATTACATGTTTGTTGGAGAGAGTTCCAATGGTTATGCCTTATACACTTTACCATAAAAGGTTCACCATTTTTGTTTGATAGAATCCCCCTCAATGCCAGCAACTACCTGGCAGGACCCAAAACTTGATTGAGGAGTCTGTAGCCTCTGGGTTGTTGCTTACCCTGGCCACATGTTTATCCAAAGTAGTCAAGTCTTTATTCTCTAGATCACTGTTTTAACTTTTTCAAAGTTAAAGTGGTATCCTAAATTATAATAAAATTTATACAGTTTATTATTAACTTTTAAAATTGACATTCAATCTCTACTGCTTACTTTGTGTGAATTTTTGTAAATGCTTTTAGAAAAGTTAACGAACATTTATCAAATTCCCAATAATGTGTTGGTCACTGTGCTGGAAATATGCTCTATTTTGGTACCTATAATAAGTCTCTGGGAAAAAAAAGTGTCAAAACTAATAGCTGTTTTCAGTAGTAAAATAGTATTGTAGTAGTAATCCTGATCACTTGATATTTCTAAAACTGACAGTCTTGATAACTCTGACTCTTGATTCCCTTGGCCTTTGGACTGAGCACACTGTTTTGGTTCTTCTTATATACTAGAGGCCCAGTGCACGATATTCATGCACTGGAGAGGGGAGGTCCCTCAGCCCAGCCTATGCCCTTTCGCAGTCTGGGAGCTTTCAGCGGATGTCTGACTGACAGACATCTTTAGGCCATCAGTTGGACATCCTTAGGCTGCCTAGGGGGCAGCTGAGGTTCCCGCCACCCTTGCTGAGCTGGCCAGCTGTCAGCTGGCTTCTGGCTGAGTGGCGCTCCCCCTGTGGGAGTGCACTGACCACCAGGGGGCAGCTCTTGCATTGAGTGTCTGCCCCCTGCTGGTCATTGCCTGCTGTTTAGTCGAGTTGCATATTACCCTTTTATTGAATAGGATTTTGGGCTATTTCTTCTCTTTTTCTTTTTTATAGCTACCTTTCCTCTGCCCATTCTTAAATGCCTGTGTTCCCTAACACCACCCCCAAAGTTTTAACTGCCATTTGTAGTTGGAGATTCCCAAATCTACATCTAAAATTCAAAGCACTGTACCAGGCTTTGGGCTTGCATGTACGTCTCCAGGTCTGATTATCATCTCCACTCTGTGTCCCACAGACAACTCAAACTCAACATGGAGAAAACCAACTCATTGTTTTCCCCAGTAAATTTACTCTATTCTTGCATTTACAAGCTTTGCAGAACTTCTGTTCTGATGGTCATAAGCATGATCAAGTTCTCTATCATTTCCTGAGATAGAAATATGGCCTTCACCTCTGAGCCCTTCCTCTTCTTTGTCATCTGCATTCCATCAATCACCAATACATTGAAACCTAAATATTTCTTAAACATTTTACTGCTCAATATTTCTCAAATATATCACTGCTTACTACCTTTACCCTAGCCAAGCAATCATCATATTTTACCAAGACTATTGCTGAATCCTCCTCACTGATTTTCTGAAGCAAATATTTTGCCCCTGACATTTATCCTGCCCACCATTGCCACAGTGAAAAACATATCGCACCTCCCAGCAGGAGACAAATGCCGTATTCAAAAGGATATAACTGAAGGGAAATTAATGAAGGAGCTATTTATAGTGATTTTGGCAGAACAAGAGAAACAAAAAAGATTAGAGACAGGAAGAAACCAGCAACATCATAACATTTCCCCCAGCTCTGGTCTGAGGAAGGGTATGAAGAAGGAATGGTGTAGCAGAACCTAATGAGAGCTGGAACCAAGAAAGAGAGGTCAGTGAGGGGGCTATAAGAGAGGAGCTATAAACATGGGGAAAGTTAGCTATTGACAAATCATAGTCCTGCAAAGAGGAAGCTTGGAAGATAAGTGTCCAAACTGTCTCCACTCCCACCCTCCAACTTCTTGCCAAGGCTTCCCATTGGTGCCAGACACCATTCAAAGTGCTTCCATATTTATTTATGTCCGTTGTTTACATTTTAGGAGACTAAGCACAGAGAGGTTAAGAAAGTCACAGATCATAAATGGAGCAAAGAGGATTCAAATTCAGACAGTCTGACTGCAAATTCTGTTTTCTTCACCATATCACTACAGAACCTTTCTAAAAAGGTGTTTAGCCACTGCACTTACAGCATATGCCAATGAATATACTTAAAGAATACAAAAATTATAAATGATATATGTTATACAACTGTCACTTGGGAACATAAATAATTTGAAGCTTCATGAGCCATAATTTATTTATGTAAACATAAATATTAAAACTTACCAAAAAATTCAAGAGGGAGGAGGACTTCCTAGCTCTCTGTATGAGATCAGCATTATCCTAATTTTGAAACCATATAAAGACACTACAAAGAGAGGAAATTATGGGCCAGTTTTCCTGATGAACAGAGTTGCTAAAATCCTCAACAAAATATTAGCAAATCGGATCTAGCAATGTACTGGAAAGATCAGACACCATGACCAAGTGGTATTTGTTTCAGGGCTACAAGGCTGGTATAATATTTGCAAATCAATAAATGTGATACATAACATAAACAAGATTAAAGATAAAAATCACATGATCAGATCAATAGGTGCAGAAAAAGCATTCAACAAAATCTAGCAACCATTTTTTATAAAAACTCTTGGCAAAGTGGGATTAGAGAGATCATACCTCAACATAATAAAGTCATATAAGAAAAACCTGCAGCTAACATCATACTCAATGGGCAAAACTAAAAGCAGGTACAAGACTGGAATGTTCACTTTCACCACTTTTATTCAACATAGTACTAGAAGTCCTAGCTACAAGGATCAGACAAGAAGAAAAAAAAGGCATCCACATTGGAAAGGAGAAAGTAAAACTGTTATTAGTTGCAGATGACATGATATTGTACAGAGAAAATCCTAAAGATTCCACCGAAAAACTAATAGATTTAAAAAATGAATTAGGCAAGCAGCAGGATACAAAATCAACATCCAGAAATCAATGGCATTTTTATTCACCAAGAATGAACTCCCAGAGAGAAAAACCAAACCAAACCAAACCAAACAACAACAACAAAAACAATCCTTTTTGCCATTGCAACAACAAAAAAATATAATCCTTGTAATAAACTTAATCAAGGAAGTAAAAGACCTGTACTCAGAAAACTACAGGACATTGAAAAAAAAAACTAAGGGAGATAC